CTCGTTGAAAAAAGTGTCAGACATGGCATCGAATATTTTCCATCTGGACTCTGAGATGGGCGCGATCACTCTGTTGCGGACCCTGGACTTTGAGGAAGGCGACTCTTATGAACTGGAGTTGCAAGCACGGGACGGAGGAGGCCTTTCCGACACTGCCAAAGTCATGATCAGCGTTACAGACATAAACGATAATGCGCCAGTGATTTCGGTGAGGTCGGCACTAAGTGAGATTTCCGAGGACGCTCCGTCAGGGACGGTAGTCGCCCTGCTGCACGTGCAAGACCGGGACTCGGGGGTGAATGGTGAAGTGCGCTGCACGCTCGAAGGGAGCGTCCCGTTCCGGCTAGAGAAGTCTTTTGACGAATATTACCGTGTGGTGACAGCGAGAGAGCTGGACCGGGAGCAGGTGTCGGAGTACAACGTGACGGTGCGGGCGGCCGACGGCGGGTCGCCGGCGCTGCAGAGCAGCGCGGTGCTGGCGCTGCGGGTGCTGGACGTGAACGACAACGCGCCGGTGTTCTTGGAGGAGCGCTACAGCGCGCGGCTGGCGGAGAACAACGCGGCGGGCGCGCTGGTGCTGACGGTGCGCGCCACGGACGCGGACTGGGGGCAGAACGCGCGCGTGCGCTACCGGCTGGCGGAGGGGCGGGTGCGGGGCGCGCCGCTGTCGTCGTACGTGTCGGTGCAGGCGGAGACGGGCGCGCTGTACGCGCTGCGCTCCTTGGACTACGAGCAGCTGCGCGAGCTGCAGCTGTGCGTGCGGGCGGAGGACGGCGGCGCGCCGGCGCTGAGCAGCAACGTGTCGGTGCGGCTGCTGATCGTGGACGAGAACGACAACGCGCCGCAGGTGCTGTACCCGGCGCCGGCCGCAGCGGCGGGCTCGGGCGCTGCTGCGGCGTGGTCGGGCGTGGAGCTGGCGCCGCGCTGGGCCGAGGCCGGCGCGCTGGTGGCCAAGGTGGTGGCGGTGGACGCGGACGCGGGGCAGAACGCGTGGCTGTCCTACGAGCTGGCCAAGGCCACGGAGCCGGGGCTGTTCCGCGTGGGGCTGCACAGCGGCGAGGTGCGCACGGCGCGCTCGCCGCTGGCCCGCGACGCGGCGCGCCACGTGCTGCTGGTGCTGGTGCGGGACCACGGGCGGCCGGCGCTGTCGGCCACGGCCACGCTGAGCGTGGTGCTGGCCGAGAGCGTGGCCGAGCTGCTGGCCGAGCTGGGCAGCGCGGCCCACGAGGCGGCGGCGCCGGGCGAGCCGGCCGCCAGCCTGACGCGCTGGCTCGTGCTGGCCGTGGCCGCCGTCTCGTGCCTCTTCGTGGCCTTCCTGCTGCTGCTGCTGGCGCTGCGCCTGCGCCGCTGCCACCGCCAGCAGCTGCTGCCGCCGGACAGCGGCGCCTTGCGCGGCGTGCCCGTCTCGCACTTCGTGGGCATCGACGGCGTGCGCGCCTTCCTGCAGTCCTACTCGCACGACGTGTCGCTCACGGCCGACTCGCGCAAGAGCCACCTGCGCTTCTCGGCCGCCAGCTGCTGCGACACCCTCCCGGCCCGGCCGCCGCCCGACGAGCCCGCGCCGCTGCTCGGGGACGGGGACCCGGCCGGCGCCCTCCCCTCGGACCCCGCCCCTCCCTCGGTGAGTTTCTCGGATCGCATTCTGGCTGTGACGCTTCCTCGTGGAGCTTCCCTGTCCTCTTATCCCCCTGGTGTCTCTGTCCTGAGTAGGACAATACTCTGACATGTTAGGCATAGCGTCGGTGAGAGATGCGCTGGTGCCTCTTGCTGCGGGGTGGTGGACGTAGGAGTCGGATCTCTGTGTTATGGTTGGTGAGCTTTTTAGGAGAATTCGAGCTCTTCTCTGCTGGAGAATCTGTGATTGAGCCCTTTTGTTTTTGTGAGTGCAGGCTGTTTAATTCTGGTCGTCTCGCCAGTATTCAGTCTGCTATTGTACTGTATTGCATGGTAAAGAAGTGGAAGTTTGTTGTTGTCAGTATCAGCTGTTTTCCCGACAGCACATGTGCTTGAGGTAGCGTGAGAGAACTTTTTGTTCCCGTCTAGAAATGTTAAGTTCGCGATAGTATTTTTAGTGTTGTATGGAATCTTATGGCTTTTTTTTTTCCTTTTTTCCCTGCCCCCCTGCATCATTATTTGCTCGTGGATATAGTACCCCCTCGCCTTATATTTTTTTATTTGTATTATCGTTTAAAACAGAGTGTGAACTACACTGTAGTATGCATTTTTAACAGCGGCATACTTCTCAAGTCTGTCTTTGGTATACATAATTATCACTCTCACTGTATTCCTTTTCAGTAAATAGTATTTAGGATAAATGTAAGCCATTGTTTGAAATTGAACGTGGACCCGTGTTTGACTGCTTTGTTTTGGGTTTGTTGCATTTCTGACTTTTGAAAGCGTCTCATTGAGTGTTCCCCATCCAGTAGTTGCAGCACTGTCAACTTTTTGTAGCAGTCTCTTTTTTCCAGGAGACCCTTCCCAGGCATTTTTTGAGTTTGCTTCTGGGAATTTCTGTGGTGGAGTAAAAAGTGAGCTTCACACTCGGGAGTGAGTAGAGATGGTGGAAGAGTAGCACAATTGCTTTTTGCTAATGTTGTTAAATCTAAATTATATATGTTAGCACTGGTTTGTCACCTTGGTGATGCATCATCACTGTGCTCCTGCAAAGATGGAGTTGAAGAACTGGATGTTCCCAGACAGAAGGTTCAGATTAGAGACCATAGGCCTCTTTTTATGCCTTCAAATTATGGGTGAATATCTAGAAATTAGAATGCATTGTTGAGATTTCTGCTGAGATGCATTACAGGTGGCTGGGCACTGCAAGAAATGTTGAGGTATGAGATATGCTCGTGTAAGGGTTGTTTGTCTGTGCTTTTTACAGCGCCTTAAATCTTGTTTTGTGTTGTTCTCTCGTGTAGCAGAGCTCAATCTTTCCATGCTGAGAGTTTAAAATCAATGCAATGTAGGAGGGAGAGTGTTATGTACATTGTTAATGCATCACTGGTTAGAAATGTTGTTTTTTCCTTCTGTGCTCCTTAGCAGCCAGTGAGCAGAATCCAGAGTCACTGCACCTGGAGGGATTTTGTGAGAATAACCTGATTGTCCACGAGAAGCCTGTTGTGCCAAACAAAAGTAGATTTCCAAAGGATTGTTGCTGTTCTATGGGCAATTTTTGTCTATTTTACTCTTCGCCATTGTGCCTTTTTCAGAGAGATGGTGCTGTAGCCGAGGGTGGAGTGACAGTAGGTCCTAATGTGCCAAAGTTCATTTACCAATGCTCATTTCTTGATCACAGAACTGCTCACAGGTTTGGACTCTTAGACATACACAGGTATTTTTATCATGAACTGTTTATTGGTTGAAGGTTTTTCCAAAAGTCAGTCATCTGTTTTTGTATTTATCACAGTTGTTGTACAACACAGAGTGTTCAATTAATGTTGAGTATTTGAAAGCAGTGTCGAATTTATTAAATACAACAAAGGGTAAGGAAGGGTGAGATTTTACTTTACTACTTTCTCAGCATTCTCTCTCTGAAGCCAGAGTGTGGCTGCTTCTTGTTGTGGAGGAAAAGCCTGTTCTCACAGCAATGTTGAGGCTGAGCAATCATTTCCTAATAACTGCTGCAGCAGAAGAAGAGATAAAAACGGAGCCTTGTAGTTTCTGTCTTTGTTTTTTTCGAGACAGTGGCAAGAGTGGCTTAAGTGGCAACTGAGTTATGACCAGGATCCTGTGAATGAGCACAGTAAGAATTAATGGAGGTTTTTGTTCAGCAATGGGAGTGTTAGTAAAACCTGCTGTACCTGTAATTTCCCAAAGCCTGGTTTGGGTAGTGCTTGGAATGGTTCAGCTGATCATAACATGCCCTGGTCTCTATAAGGTCATGAAACAAGAGCTGTTGGTTTGTGGAGAGTTTGTATTTCGTGATTTCCTTTGGTTGTTGCAGAGAGGTGGAGTCAGCACAAACAGGCACTGAGGTGGAGCAAGTGTTTTTTCACAGGTGTACTCTGAAGAATGTTCTATCATTTCTGTTTTCAGACCATCCCACGCCAGGAGCATTCAGCGTTTTATCATTTTATTGTGGCAAAAGACATGTCAGGGTGTTTGAGCCATGGGCAAATTGCCTTCTCTAGTTGTGGCCTTCTAAGATTAATTTTTCTGAATTTTTTTTTTTTGTTGTCTTTTTATCTCGAAGTCTCTGTCCTGGGGAAGGTAGCTGACATGTCATGTATGCCTCAGGCATCACCACAGAGGAATATTAACCCTCATTTTTACAATTCTCAGAGTAAAAAATTCAGCACGCTGCTAACTGAAGTATCCTGGGAGCATGGATACCTTTTTCAGTCTGTCCCCATTCTTAGATCTACTTAATTAAGCCGTTCACTGAAAAAAGCTTTTTGAAGAAGTGCTTTAACAGGTCATTCTTCCCAGTTCTAGGACAAGAAGATGTGGTAATCTCCATGATTTGTAAAACTGGGAACATGTAAGGATAATGCTGTAAGAGAGTATAAGACTTGCCTTTTCCTCCCAGTCACAGTTACTGTGAGAGGGATATAAAATAAAAGGAATATAAACAAGAATCTCCAGAAAGAAGATGTTGCTCCTGGCGCTTCTTTTATACAAGGGCTTCTCTTCCCAAGTATTTTGTTGACGCTGCTTCACAGAGATGGTAGAAATGAAATAAAAGAGCTGGGTAAAGAGAGCCCACAGCAGTAATAGAAGGGATAGGAATCTGCGAGACATTTGATGCACAGTGCACCCGCCTGTACTTACCTGTACTCACCTGTGCCCCCTTGTACGAAGTCTGCGTGATCCTCCACTCCGCCACTACACGTTCCCCAGCCAGGCTCTGCAGTTTTGCTTCCGAACAGAGCTCCTCGATTCCCCTATCCGCGGGTATTAAAAAATTCTCCAAACTGAACTTCGACTCGCGTTTTTGGGTAGCTGATGGAGGTGAGCAGCGAACGGTGCGGCCCGGGCCGAGGCCCCCGCTGAGCGCGGGCATGCGGCGGCTGCAGTGTCGCGGCGGCGCCTCCGGGTGTCGCTGTTGTCCGGCGCCGAGCGGCGCTGGAGCCGCCGCCGCCGCCGCCGCCGCAGCGTCCTGCCCCCGCAGGCTGCTCGCTCGGCCGGCGCCGGCCACAGCGGCAGCGGCACCGCCAGCAGGAGCAGCAGCAGCGAGAGGCGGCGGGGCGAGCTGGGTGTGTTTGAGCGGTGTCTGTTTTGGGCGGCGAGAGCGGCTGGAAGGGAGGCAGGGCAGCGGCAGTCGGCAGGAGCGCGGCGAGCGCAGTGGGCAGAGAATGGCGGTGAGGCAGAGGCGGCAGAGGCGCGGGCCGGGCGGCGGGCGAGCGCTGCTGGCCGCGCTGCTGCTGCTGCTGCTGTGCGTGTGGTGCCGGGCGGCGGCCGAGCGGCTCCGCTACGCCATCCCCGAGGAGCTGGGCAGAGGCTCGCTCGTGGGGCCGCTGGCGCGGGACCTGGGGCTCAGCGCGGACGAGCTGCCGGCGCGCAAGCTGCGGCTGAGCGAGGAGAAGCAATACTTCACTGTGAATGAGGAGAACGGGAACCTGTACGTGAACGAGAGACTGGACCGGGAGGAGATGTGCGGCGAGTCGGCGACCTGCTCCGTCAGCTTCGAGGTGCTGGTGCACAACCCGCTGAACATTTTCCACGTGGAAGTGGATATCCAAGACGTGAACGACAATGCGCCGGGCTTTCTTAAGGAAAATATCCACTACGAAATCATTGAGTCTACACCGCCTGGTGCCCGATTTGCTGTGGGTGTTGCCGAGGACGCGGACGTGGGCAGTAACTCGCTGCAGGGCTATGAGCTGGAGGCCAACGGGTTCTTCGCAGTGGAGGTGAAGGAGAGCCAGGACGGCAGCAGGCTCGCGGAGCTGGTGCTGCGCCGTGCACTGGATCGAGAGAGCGAGCCGAGCCTGCGTCTGCTGTTGACTGCGCTGGATGGCGGAGACCCGCCCCGGACTGGCACCGCCCAGCTGTGGATCAACGTCACCGACGCCAATGACAACCCACCCGTGTTCGCGCAGGACCGGTACCGCGTCAGCCTGCGCGAGGACACGCCCCCGGGAACGACGGTGCTGAATGTGACAGCCTCTGATGCCGATGCCGGCACCAATGCTCGCATCACCTACGGCTTCGGGAAAATGCCGGCCAGGGTGCTTCAGAAGTTTGTGGTGGATGCAGAGAGCGGGACGATAAGTCTGCAGGAGGGGCTGGATTTTGAGGACACGCGAGGTTACATGTTGCTGGTGGAGGCGACGGATGGAGGGGGTTTGGTGGCTCACTGCAAGGTGCAGGTGGAGGTGCTGGATGTGAATGACAACCCCCCTGAGATCACCATTCTGTCGCTCTCGAGCCCGGTGCCTGAGGACGTGCCTGCCGGCACCGTGGTGGCTCTCTTGAACGTAAAGGACCCGGATTCGGGGGAGAACGGTCAGGTGACGTGCTCGCTGTCGGGAGAGGCGCCGCTGTCGATCGTGGCGTCGTCGGGCGGCTCGTACAAGGTGGTGACATCGGGCGCGCTGGACCGCGAGCAGGCGTCGGAGCAGCGCGTGACGGTGGTGGCCCGGGACCGGGGCAGGCCGGCGCTGTGGAGCAGCAGGGAGCTGGTGCTGGAGGTGTCGGACGTGAACGACAACGCGCCGGTGTTCGAGGAGGCGGCGTACAGCGCGTACGTGGCGGAGAACAACGCGGCGGGCGCGCTGGTGCTGCGCGTGCAGGCGCGGGACGCGGACGCGGGCGCCAACGGGCGCGTGAGCTACTGGCTGGCGGGCGGCAGCGCGGGCGCGGCGGGCGCGGCGCCGCTGGTGTCGGTGGAGGCGCGGAGCGGCGCGCTGTACGCACAGCGCTCCTTGGACTACGAGCAGTGCCGCGAGTTCACGGTGGCCGTGCGGGCGCAGGACGGCGGCTCGCCAGCGCGCAGCTCCACGGCCACGGTGCGCGTCTTCGTGCTGGACCGCAACGACAACGCGCCCAGGGTGCTCTGGCCCGCGGCGGCGGCGGCGGCGGCGGGAGAGGGTCCGGGAGGGGCGGCGGCGGCGGCGCCTTTCGAGGTGGTTCCGCGCTCGGCCGAGGCCGGCTACCTGGTGGCCAAGGTGGTGGCGGTGGACGCGGACGCGGGGCGCAACGCGTGGCTGTCCTACGAGCTGGTGCAGGCGTCGGAGCCGGCGCTGTTCCGCGTGGGGCTGCACAGCGGCGAGGTGCGCACGGCGCGCGCCGTGGGCGAGCGGGACGCGGCCAAGCAGCGGCTGGTGGCCGTGGTGAAGGACCACGGGCAGCCGGCGCTGTCGGCCACGGCCACGCTGCACGTGGTGCTGGCCGAGAGCTTGCAGGAGGCGCTGCCGGAGCTGAGCGATAGAGACGCTGTATCTCTCCTGACGTCGGATCTGAACCTCATTCTTGTTGTGTCGCTCTCCGTCGTGTCCTTATTATTCTTTTCCACGGTCATTTTTGTTTTTTTCTTTAAATGTCGACAGTCGAGGAGCCCTCCCATTTTTATAACTTCTGATAGGGAACTGTATTCCACCTTGGGCTCAAAAGCACCGTACAACTACTGCAGCAGCACGCTGCCCTTGCCCTATTCCTACGAGGTGTGTTTAGCCTCCGAGTCGGGGCAGAAGGACTTCACGTTCCTGAGACCAGGGGCGGCAGCCTTGTCTGCCGATCTCCTGTCCGCTGGTCCCGGCTCAGGCACTCTTTCTGGGAAGGACCCTCCTGGCCCTGGGAGCTCGGCACAGGTGAGCTTCTGTCCTACGCTCCCTCTCAATGAGTTTTTGTGAATCTTTTTTCCCTCTGTTCTGCTGTGGGTGATCAGCGGGGAACCGACAGATCTGAACGTGCCGGGACCCTGCTCACTAGCTCAGGGACCTGGGGGTGTGAGTGAGGGGGGGGTGTACTTCAGGTCTTGACTCATCCTTTTGACCTGCCAAGTCTTATCCGCAAATTGCCCATTTTCTCTGAGGTCCGACGCAAATGTTGTCAGTATTTCTGTCTGTCCTGGAGAACGACAGACAGCTGCGAGTTTCACCGAACTGGAGTGGTGAGGTGGACTCGGGGTGGAGCGGGAACAAAAGTGTAGTGGAGACTGAAGCTGAGACAACCCTTTCGCCTGGGTCTAGTGACCACTAATTGTCTCAGCCACATTTGGGCTCTTTCATGTGATAATGATGTGTGATCTATCCCGGAGTGTTTACCTAGTGGGGCAGCTACGCTGGAGTTCTCTCCTTTTCTGTCAAGCTCGGTTCTTTAGCGCTCTGAACCCCTTTAACAGAACGTGTTGTGTACACCCGTAACTCACCTTTTCCCCTCCATCTGTAGAGTCGGAGCTGGTGCTTCAGTGTAGCTCCAAGACTGGCATCGAGCAGAAGGAGCTTTTTGTTGCCCGCTGCCATCGGCTTCCCTGGAGTGGAGTCAAGGAAAATGCCGAGCGGTTCAGGGAGGGATTTGGCCTGAACCAGTCCCCGGAGGAATTCCTGGTGCAGGGGAAGGCGTCTTCCCCCTTTGCTGTTGTACTTTTTCACTCCTCTCCCTCAAAATGGCGCTTTCAGGTGCTCTGAAGCGTCGTCTGCAATATTCAGGCTTCCCATCAACGTGGAGGAGATGTAATGTCTGCAGATTAATTGAAATACAGTAGATGGAAATGTTCTGTCTTTCATGCCTTTCCTAAAATCTCTTTTCTACTCATCTCTCCGCTGCTTGGCCATCCCACCGCTGCTGGGATTAATTGGAGAAGGTTCTCTGGTACGGGTGGTGTGTGCACTCATACATAGGGAGGGAAATTGCTCCAGAATGTGGTCCCCACGCTGAGAAATCGCGTGTAGGAAAAACCTAAAATGGGCAGTGATTGGAAAAAGGATTCAGAACTTACAGTGGTTGGGAAAAAGATTCAGAGTTTATTTCAGAGAAAAAAGTTGCTGAAGACTATTTCAAGATTTGGGTCAAAGAGAGCTGTGGATTTTCTTGGTTTTAGATTATATGTAAGAAACAAAGACAATTGGGATTTGGTTTTCTATGAGAAAAGAAGTGCTTTGGGAACGTTAGATGATTCACATTGGATTTTATTTGCGTGAAACCCTATCACATGTGAACGCTATGTGAACTTTTATCACATTCTGAGGACAGGTGATAAGAATGATAAACATTGCTGATAAACTTTATCTTTTGACAACGATTAATCAGGAGAAAAGGAAATAGCTGAGCATGTAGATAGGACAGATTGTGCCGACTCTTTCGATACTGCCGACTCTTCATGTAAGCGCCGAACTGCTGCGTCTCTGGGTGGATCCCCTGTGCTCACGGCCGCTTTTGGGATTGTGCGGGGCGAGGACACGCAGGCAGAGCTGAGATCCCTCTCGCTCTGTCGAATGTCGCTGTCAGCGCTGGTGCAGGTGGCTTGCAGCCCCTACGAGCTCAGCCCCCACAATTAGCGGGGTAACAAAAAACCCGCCGCAAGTTTCCGAGCCACTTCTGCAAGGCTTTGGGAGCCTCCATAAGCGAATGAACGCGGGGCTGGTTTCCAGTCCGGTTTTTGCCTTTTCAGTGTCGTTTGTGGGATGACACTTGGGCGCTGTGTCACAGCTGGGTTTTCACAGGGTGCCTGACGCTCCCTTATCAATCATCCTCGTCCGTTTTCATTACCCCGTGAGAGCCGAGCGGTTCTGCGGGTGACAGATGACGAATGCCGGAATTCCGGTTATTTTATCCTTATGTGTGCGTAAAAATTGGGAAAAGTCGGAAAAGCCCACGTAGCACGAGTTGTTGATGACAGCAACAACAGCCCTAAGGCAGGTTTTTGACCAGGCACTGCCGGCGCTGTGAGCTGCCAGGCTGCTGCTGCTGCGCGGGAACGGGACCCGCACCGCAGGTCACACAGCGTGATTGCCCTGAGTCTGGCTGGTGCAAAAAAATACCGGGGAGCAATCTGGGAGATTGCGAGAGTAGGAGGGCATATTAAACCGAGATTTCTGCGGTTTGTCGGGGAAGACGCCTGCTGGGATAGCGGTGGCAGTGAGGATCCCGCAGGAGGGGTGATGCTCCTGAAAATCCAGCGGCGGGAGCCGCCCTGCGGCGAGGCTCGGTGTTGCGGCCGGAGGAGCTGCTCATAAACACGGCAGCACGAAATCACTGTCGCTTTGCCGGCCACGCCGCTTTGGTGGCATACTGAGCAGCGACGTCCCGACGCCTTGAAAGGAGCTTCCTCCCTGGAAGGGGCTGGCCAGGCATTTGGGTGGGAGGACTGGCATTTGGGTGGGAAGGTCCTGAGAAAAACTGGGAGCTGGCGCGTCGTGCCCGTGCTGGCTCTCCCTGGCACCCTGCGTACCCGGGAGAACCCTCCTCACTCATCCTCCCGCCCTCTCCACCTCCCTTTCTTACTCCTAATGCCTCATTCCAGGGAGGTGTTCCCGGGACGCACACACCCCAAACACCCCACGTGTCCGTATCGCCCTTTTTGGCGTCACTCTGCCGACTTGTACAGCTTCTTGCCCACACACGCAGTCCCCGTGCCCCATCTACCCTGCCTCTGCCAGCGCTCCCCCCGCCTGGCTGTTTCCGTAGGGGGTTTCTCGCAGGGCTGTGCCCTCCCTTCAGCTCCTGCCCGCTCCTGTCCCGGGGCCGGGGTCGCCGCGCTCGCTCCGGCGGCGCTCGGGGCGGCTCGGGCGCGCCGCGCTCTGTGCAGTTATTGGCCGGGACTCTGTGTGCCGCTGTCGGCCAATGATGGAGCGGGGGGGAACTGGCGGCCCGGCCCCGCTCCGAGCCGGGATGAGGCGCAGACGGTCTCAGAGAGACTCTGCGAGTGAGTCACCGCCGAGCCCGCCGAGCAATGCCCGGCTCCCCGCCGCCGCTTCCCGGGGCCGCTGGGCAGCGGCATGAGGCGGCGAGCTGAGAGTTTCTAGCCGGGGCGGGGGGCGAAGCGGAGAGCGCGGCCGTCCTGTGCGATGAACGGCGTTGCTGTGAGGAGCCGCGGGGTGACGACGGGGCAGGTACTGAGCCTCTTGCTTTTGTTCGGCGCTTCCGACTGGGTTTCCGCCGCGATTCGCTATGCGATCCCCGAGGAGGCGCGGAGAGGCTCCGCGGTGGGGAACGTGGTAGCCGACCTGGCGCTGGACCTCGGGCGGCTGCCGGGGCGCCGATTGCGGGTGGTGTCCGGCGGCAACAAGAAGTACTTCGGGGTGGATCTGACGAGCGGGGCGCTGCTGGTGAACGAGAGGATAGATCGGGAGGAGCTTTGCGGCGCGCTCTCTCCCTGCTCCCTCAGCTTTGAGATCGTGGTGGAAAACCCGCTCGAGCTGTACAGCGGCACCGTAGAGATCCAGGACATCAATGACAACGACCCGGTTTTTCCCAGCAGCCAGGCGAGGCTGGAAATCAGTGAGTCGGTGGCTGCCGGAGCGCGCTTCCCGCTAGAGAGCGCGCAAGATCCCGATGTGGGAATTAACTCTTTGCAGACCTACCAGCTCAGCGCCAACCCGAACTTTGCGCTCGACGTGCAGACGAGGGTGGATGGCAGCAAGTATGCAGAACTGGTGTTAGAGAAGGAGCTGGACAGGGAGGAGCAAAGGGAGCTGAATTTGGTCTTGACTGCGCTGGATGGAGGCACCCCGCCACGCTCGGCCCACGTGCAGATCCACATTGACGTTGTAGATGCCAACGATAATGCCCCCGTCTTCAACCAGTCCACCTATAAGGCGAGTGTGAGGGAGAACACGCCCAGCGGTACCCTGGTCGCCAGGATCAGTGCGTACGACCTGGATGATGGGGCCAATGGAGACATCATCTACTCCTTCAGCAGCCACACCCCCGCCAAGGTACGAGAACTCTTTGCTCTGGACTCAGCCACAGGGGAGTTGAGGGTCAAGGGACAGCTGGACTATGAGGAAACAAAGTTGTACGAGATTTACTTACAGGCTAAAGACAAGGGAGCCGTTCCTGGTGTGGCTCATTGCAAAGTGCTGGTGGAAGTCGTGGATGTGAATGACAATGCTCCAGAGGTGACAGTGACTTCTGTCTACAGCCCTGTGCCTGAAGATGCAGCCCCAGGGACGGTCGTAGCTCTGCTGAGTGTAACAGACTTGGACTCCCATGACAATGGCCTGGTGAACTGTTTTATTTCCCCTGGGATCCCATTCATGCTCAGCTCCTCCCTTAAAAATTACTACACATTGAAAACAGAAGGAGCTCTGGATCGGGAAAAGGCAGCAGAGTATAACATCACTATCACAGCCAAGGATTCAGGCTCACCACCCTTGTCTGCAGTAAAACACATCCTGGTGCAGGTGTCAGATGTCAATGACAATGCTCCCAGGTCGTCCCAGGACTCCTATGATGTCTATGTTCCTGAGAACAACATGCCTGGCATCCCCATCCTTAACGTGAGCGCCACGGATCCGGACCTCGGGCGCAATGCCCACCTCTCGTATACCCTTTTGGGTGACACCACTTTTGGCCATCTCTTCTCCATCAACCGGGATAATGGCACCCTCTACCTGCTCACCTCCCTGGACCATGAGGACCAGGTGGAGTTCAACATGATGGTGCAGGTCCAGGATGGTGGCTTTTCGCCTCTGGCCACTAATGTCTCAGTCAGTGTGTTTGTCACTGACCTCAATGACAATGCCCCAACGGTGCTGTACCCTCAACCCAACACCACCGCCACCTACACTGATGTGGTGGCACCAGGCACTCCCGCCGGCCACATGGTCACCAAGGTGGTGGCGGTGGATGCGGATGCAGGGTACAATGCCTGGATCTCCTATACCCTGCTGCAGGCCACTGACCCCAGCCTCTTCTCGGTTGGGCTGCACAATGGGGAGATCTTCACGGCCCGCCAGCTCCGCGAGGATGATCCTCCCGAGCACACCTTAGTCATCCTGCTGAAAGACCATGGGGAGCCTGTGCTGTCCACCAGTGCCACCATCTCCATCTCTGTGGCCGAGACGGTCAAGGAGGTGCTCACTGACCTCACTGATGTGGCACCTGCCAGTGATCCCAGGAGACATGTGACTTTCTATCTCATCCTGGCTGTGATTTTGGTGTCAGCAGCCTTCTTCATCACCATGTTGTCCGTGGGCATCTTCAAGTGCTACAAGTGGAGGCAGTCAAGGGAGCTGTACAACAGCTCCAGGAGCACCACGTACAGGACACCAGGGCCCTTCAACCACATTGATGCTGTGAGGGGTGGCTTCACGCCACCCAGCTTCTACCACCAGGTCTATCTCACCACAGACTCTCGCCAGAGTGATCTCCTGTGTAAAAAGCCCTACACTTCCAGCCCCTTGGGGAGCCGCCAGGGCACCATAAGGAATGGTGAGCCAGGGCTGTACCACCAGATTGTGGGCACTGCCAGCCGGCTCCCCACACCTGCTGAGGTAATGTAGCTCCTTCCTTGGCGTGTCCCAGGGCTGGGCAGAGCCACGGTTCCTTTGTGCCATACGCTTGTGGTTGCGTGTTGGGGTTGGGAGGGACATCCAGTCGTGCCACGCCCCTAAAGAGTTCAGCTACAGCTGAGCAGGTGTTCTTTGGAGTCAAATGGGCCATCCTGAGGGCTGATGACTTTTGCACTGTGATCAGCAGGATCAAGTGAGTCAGTTTCCTCATGTTGGCAATCATACGTCTTTTGGAGGCAGTTTTGGGTGCACCCTGCATGAGTAAGCAGTGGAGGCTGAGGTCAGCTTGAAACCGCTGGTTAATCCTTGGCACAAAGTTTGCTGTTAATGGTATTTCCTTCCCTTTGCAAAAGGAGAGCCAAGGGGAGCACTTGCACTGCGGGGGAACATTTTAATCTCTCTGTGTCGTGACTTGGTGGGGGCTGGGAGCTGGGGATTGGCGTGTCGCCTCTCACAGAGCAGCATGCAGAGCTGAAGGGTGATGCTGGCTCCTCTGACTGTGGTCATAGAGCAGTCCTTCCATCTGTGCCGTTCCTCATGTTTGTCTCCTGAATGGTTCCGGTTTTATTTCCATGGAAGTTCTGTGCTGATGTTCACTCTGGGGGAGGGGGTGGGATTGCAGACTGCCCCCCGTTGCTTGCAGGGTTCTGCTGAGCTGGACTTTGGCTCTGAGCAGGGTGCTGAGTCCTCCACTGAGATGTTGTTCAAATGCCCTATTACAAGCTCTGCATGATTCTTAATATGCTGTCTCTGGGTGATGTCTGGTGTCCTGACTGCAGGCTGGAAGGAATTTGCGCATGGCAGCAGCTTCTGTGCTTCTCCCCCGTTGAGAATTGTGCTGCTTAATTTGAAAGCTTTCAATTACAGGAATGCTTCAGTCTTCAGAGGTGAGGCCAGGTAGTGGATCCAGTGGAGGGGGAGTGTGGATCTGGTGGCTTTCCAAGGTCGTCGGTGCTGGTAATTTGTCCTTCCTGGGAGGCAGTGGGTAGGAGTGACTGGTTCCTCAGAGCAGAAGGAAGTGAGGTGCAGCGGAAGCTGTTCAT